GTATAAAATACACAGGCACACTTTATTAATTAATTAATTAATCAATTAATTTATTTATAATAAACCATAAACAACAGTAACTTTATTCCCACCCACAAAAAATAAATAAAGAAATAAAATCTGTTCAAGCAACACAATGACAACCTAATATCAAACAGAAATATCTCATTAAAAAACTGTCAACTCCATCACGATGAAGCGACATCACGACACTTTGTGATGTCGACATTTTTGATGAAGCGACATCATCAACACTTTGATGAATCACAACACTTTGTGTTGTGTCAAGCAGCTTTTCACACTTTTGGCCACAAGATGGAGCCAAAGAAAATTGTGTTGGAAAGCTTCGAGTAATGAACCCTTTTTCAAAGCAAGCTTCAGTGCTTCAGAAAAGCTTCATTTGCCCATCACTAGAAGAAAGTATTCAATGAGAACATTTCATTCATTCATTCATTCATTCATTCATTCATTCATTCATTCAGATCTAGGACCTTTACTTTTTTTTTGAGCACTTGTTACAACTTGGCTAACAGCATGTAGTCAGAGCAGGGCCTGGAGTGAAGCTGGTTATATGCAAACCGTGCTGAGTGGAAGTGGGAAGCAGCTGAGTGATTACAATTGAGGACAGGTGTGAAAGGACTGACTAGAAGGAACCAGAAAAGACTGAGGAAAAAGATGGGCACGAAGAGACACAAGACAGACACCAGAGGGAGGCATAGCAAACAGAAAGTACACACAACACACAGATCTTCGCAACCATTAAGAAGACTGGGCGTTAACGATCATTTTAGAGACGCTGAATGTTTCAGAACAAAAGATAGGCATAGGTTAAGTGGTCTGTGAAAAACTGTAAAACAATTTCAGATTAACGTTCCTCAATATCTCAACATCTACAGCTCATAATAGCATCAGAAGATGTCATAAGTCTYGAGAACTCTGTGCACAAAGGACCAGGCTGAAAGTCAGTATTGGAGGTCAGTGATCTTTAGACCCTCGGGAGGCCTGATTTTGTTGTGGATGTCACTGGAGGGGCTRGGGAGCACAAATCACTGCCTGTCCACACAGTTCCCTCTGCCATCCACAAATGGTGSGTAAAGCTCTATCATGCAAGGAAGAAGCTGTAGGTCAGTGCTATTCAATTGGCGGCCCGTGGGCCAAATCCGGCCCGCGAGTGACCAAAGTTCGGCCCGCCAATTGGTTCATTCATCTCTTCAGCCCAAACCCCCGGTTTTCTACTTTAATTACTCTAAGTTCTTTTAGCTAGACATAGACATGCTTGGTATCTACAGAAACGTCAGAACCTTGGCTACAAGCTGGTGTAAACCATTTCTAAGCACAACCAAGACAGTTAAAACTACAAGCAGTTGAAGATAGAACTATGAAAGGGAAAACAAAATTGTTTTAAAAATTTGGCAAGTCAGAGATGTCAAAATAATATTTGTGTGAAATAGGAGGCATAATGTGTTCTTTTTCTTTTTGATATTGTTGAATTATGACTACTTTTATAGGGTTCTGTATGTTCTAATCATGATTAAATGCAGCAAAATAAACTATTTCAAAGATAGCAGATCTTCGTAATGCTTGCTTTATTTACTTAATAACTTTAATTGCTGGATGTTTGGCCCCTCAGCTGTAGACCTGCAGTAACTGTGGCCCCCGGAGCAGTTTAGATGAATAGCCCTGCTGTAGGTGAACACCATCCTGAAATGCTGCAGACATTGTCGTTGTAAGTACGACTTAGCCCCAATCAGATGAGGCATCAGAACAAGACAATGCTAAACCATTATAAAGGCATGGCTTCGTAGTAGAAGAGTCTGGGAGTTGAAATGTTCTGCCTGCAGTCCAGACCTCTCCTCAACTGAAAGCATTTGACACATTATAAAAAAAATCCAGTAAAGAAGATCCAGGACTGCTGAGCAGCTGGAATRCTCCACCAGACAACAATGGTCTCCTCAGTTTAGATGTTTACAGAGTGTTGTTAAAAAAAGAGGGAATGCTTCACACCAACACGTTCTAGCTTCTTTTTTTTTAGATGTGTCGCTGCAATCAAATCACCCACCAAAAATTGTGCAATTTCTCATATTTAAAACATATATATTCTTACTATATTTAGTACAAAGAAGTTGGCTTCATTACTTTATTTACATGTTACACCATGTCCTGACTGCTTTGGYATTTGAGTTGTAAAATTGATCTTTTAATTTTGGTTTAAAACCTAAACTGTTTAAATTGAGAATTACTTTCAAATGCAACATTCAAGCCTCACCTGCTTCAACCTGCGACTCAATATTTATTAGGTGGGCAGCTGTGGCGGAGTGGTTAGGGGAGTCGTCCTGGAACCAGGAGGTCACTGGTTCAATCCTCAGATGCAGCTGTTTTGGTCATTGTGTCACTTCACCCGCCTTGCCTACTGATGGTGTTCATGGCAGTGCACCCCAGAGCAGCTGTGGCTAAAATGTAGCTTACCATCATCAGTGTGTGAATGGGTGAGTGAGTGTAACACGCTTTGGGTTCCAGAGGGACTTGATAAAGCAATCTATACGTTCAGTCCATTTATTAGGGCTTTATAAGAATTTAAWGTCTTTCTTGCGTTTTCTCTGGCTGATGCATATCTGGTTGTCTGTAAACATCAAACCTGTTGAAGCAGATTTTTCTTTTAAATTTTGAAGCAGATAGGTGTGAACAATGAGGTCACAGATTTGCATTAAAATCTGCACTTTTCTCACATTTTAAGCTCCCAGTGTGCAGTCCTTGTAATCTATGCACTTTTCATGGTAAAATCTCTTCCCCAAATAATTTGATTGCTGACAGTTTGTTTAAAGATTCAGGCTCATCGTCCTCACAGCAGATAATGTGCCTTCAAGTCTCGAGTTTTCAGTAGAGATTAGAAACAGGCCATAGGTTTTACTACTTTCTCATTCTCCACTCACACGCTTTCTTTTTTGTTTTCTAACTTGAAGTCCACACCTCAAACTGACAGTAATGCAAGTCACATCATTTGAGATTTATTGGATTCTGCTCAAATCCCTCTGGAGCCACAGGAGGCTTTCTAAACTTTCTTTTCTCAGGTGCCTGAATGCTTCCAAAGACCGCGATACAGACTTTGATGTGTAAAAAGTGTCAGTGGATATCTTCTTTTAGCTAAAAGCAAGATCAGAAATACAAGAGAGGAATGCAGTGACAAAGATAAAAAATAAATAAAAAAATCCTGCGCCACCGCTGCTATCAAACTTGTGTGATAGGATGTTTTCTCTCTGCTTGGGTGCGCCGTCACACATGTCGAGCAGGTGACGACAGCCCCAGTGCAATTATCCATTGCTCTGGGGCTGTGCAGCATGTAAAGACAACATGATTAAAGCTGCTTGTTGGGACAACACAGTTTCTTTGTTTGACAGGGAGAAGAATGACAAGATAATGTAATTCCATGCTGCAGCTACTGTGTCACATCTCGCTGGAGTTGCATAAATATCCTCTCGCAATTTTCACATTTCATTACCGAGGACGAATCTCTCGCTGCTCCTTGGTCCTTAACATCAACCCGATCCTCCCAGTGAAGATTGTTCCTTGGTACACATATCACAGGAGGCCAACAGCTGGCTGTGGTTCATTTCTCGCCGCCTTCCAGTTTCACCTGCATCAATATTAGACAAGTCTGTTCAAGTTCCCTAACAGATGGCCATCTGCTGGGCCTCTTTTTGAGTCAAGGAGTAAACAAAACAAGATGAAACCAAACCAAATTGTGTTTTTCCCTCTACTTTTTTCCTTCCAATTGCAAATATGCCAAGATGTACAGACTGTCTGTAAATTACACAGATTTCCTCTCATTTTGCAGGTGCACTGATGCATAAAAACTCATGGATTTAAAAATGTATATTTTAAATTTATTTTACGTCTCAGAGCCGGCCTGTAAATGCTTAGTTCCCATCCTCTTCCTCCTCCCACTAGACTATACCTACCCAGTACCAGCCCCACCCCTACCGCACACCGCTATGTCTGTATGCGTCTGCTTTCAAAGATAACTGACCTTAAAGGAGACTTTAACTCAGTCAGTTTACAGATACTGACTTAAAATTTTGTTTGGTAGTGGCTGAGATGGATATTTGGAGCACTGACTGCACAGGAATTCTGTGTTAAATGTTTTTGACATTCTATATTTAGAGTCTCTTTTGGTTTGTTAGCAAAACATGTGGAAACGTGGAAAATGTGCAAAACCCCACACGGAAAGACCTCAAATCCAACCCGAGCTTGACCCACAGACCTGGATGCTGTGAGGGAACTATGTGATGCCCACTTCTGTACCTCCACACTTGATTAACCTTTGAAGCCAGTCCAAGTCAAGATGGTGACCACGGCTAACTGAACTTAGAGAGGTACACCAGAGAGAGGTAGACACAAGACGACAGAAAACACAAATCCTCATCGTACCCCACTTCTACGAATCATCACCTGATGATACAACAATGGACACTGGAGGGTGGAGGAGGGTACCAACACAAAGACAGGATGGAGGGCATGAGACAAAAGACAATGAAGGGGACACAAAAACAAAAAGAAAAAAAAACGAAACCAAAAACCGACAGGAAAAAGTCCTGGGAAAAAACAACACAAGTCACTAAGATGGCCCTAGGCACACCTGGAGGGCAGAAAAGTTCAGGTGGGCGTCCAGGAACCCAGCACAGACAGGGAAAGGGGTTCTGTGGGTGACCATGGGCACAGCCGCAGTGAAGGTGGAGCTCTGGCGGGCGACCTGGAGCTTGGCCGCGACAATGATGGGGCTCAGGGAGATGGCCCGGTGCTCAGCCGCTGAAAAAGCGGATCTCAGGTGGGCGACCAGGAGCCCAGCCATGGAGGTACTCTGGAGGGACCYGCAGAGGAGACTCTGCAGGGGCTGGCACTGGAGACTCTGCAGGGGGTGGTGAGAGTTCAGGTGGAGTGGGGAACTCAGCTGCAGACGGCAAGGAGTCCTCAGCTGCAGACGGCCAGGAGGACTCAGCTGCAGACGGCCAGGAGGACTCAGCTGCAGACGGCGAGGAGGACTCAGCTGCAGACGGCCAGGAGGACTCAGCTGCAGACGGCGAGGAGGACTCAGCTGCAGACGGCCAGGAGGACTCAGCTGCAGATGGCAAGGAGGATTCAGCTGCAGATGGCAAGGAGGACTCAGCTGCAGATGGCAAGGAGGACTCAGCTGCAGATGGCAAGGAGGACTCAGCTGCAGACGGCGAGGAGGATTCAGCTGCAGACGGCAAGGAGGATTCAGCTGCAGACGGCAAGGAGGATTCAGCTGCAGACGGCAAGGAGGATTCAGCTGCAGACGGCGAGGACTCAGCTGCAGACGGCGAGGACTCAGCTGCAGACGGCGAGGACTCAGCTGCAGACGGCGAGGACGGCGAGGACTCAGCTGCAGACGGCGAGGACTCAGCTGCAGACAGTGTTGAGGGCTCAGCTGGTGTAGTTAGAAGGACCTCCACCAGGACTGCAGCGAATATGGAGACCAGCACTGAAACTGCAGCAGGGGTGGTCACCACCACCTCCCTCCCCGTAAGACCCTCCACACAGGAGGTGGCGGCGTCGGCCCTCACCAGAACGCAGGCGGCGGTGGAGGCGTCGACCCTCGCCGGAGCACAGGAGGCTGTGGAGGCGTCGACCCTGCATGAATGCAAACTTTTGAGTCAACCATTTATTGCAGTTTATGCAGTTGTTGGGATATGCATATTGCACAGGCTATTATCGTGATGACGATAAATTTTCCATATATTGTGCAGCCCTAACCAAAAGCCTTTCATGGCACAGCTAATCAGCTGATACTGAGTGCAAAGTATGGAGTCCAGTTTGTGTAAACTGAGAAAATAAAAAACAGCTTCACAGAAATTTATTCTCTTAATTTTTACCTCCGCCAAGGGAGGAGGTAATGTTTTCGGTCACGTCGGTCTGTCTGTCTGTCTGTCTGTCTGTCTGTCTGTCTGTCTGTCTGTCTGTCTGTCTGTCTGTCTGTCTGTCTGTCTGTCTGTCGACAAAATTACTCAAAAACTTACGGACAGATTTTCATGATTTATTTATTTTTTTACAACAGGTGCGTTTTGGCCAAAGGAAGACTCCATTAAATTTTGGTGATGTTCCAGATTACGATGTGGATACAGGATTTTTTTTWAAATTCAAGTGAATCAGCCAGGCTACGCAACGTGTCATTACGTCAGATGCTCGTCTGTAGGAAACATGAAGTAGAAGTCACAAACTCYCTGGGATGGAGAGAAGTTATCAGAAATGTGTTGCTACTATCTGGAAAGTTGTAATTATTCTCTTTTCAACTAGTCCCGGCGACGTTACATGCTGTCTGGAGACATAGAAAAAGAAATGCAATTCTCTTCACATTACGAGAATAACTGAGAAGACGCCGACAGTCAGCGGGGGGAGAGTATAGCTGCAGTCACGGGTGCAGCCGAGCTGAAGCTGGTACTGGGACCGGTACCGGACAGTGGGAACAGCTGATCAACCATGTGAGGTAAATGTTCGCCACGTCAGAACTCAAGTGGTTGTGTTTTAAAACATTTATCATTTGTATTGACATGTTTTTAAATATTATTTTTGTCAGAAAAAAACTTATATGGTGTAAAAAACATGCACCTACGGTAGGTTCATTAGTTCTTCAAATATTACATTTAAAGTTAATTTAAATGTAATATTTGTTAATTTTTAATCTAATTTTGCTTCTGTTTAGCGTCGTCACAGTTTCTATAGGCGATATGCCGGGGTAAGGACAGGAGGCTAGACCGTCCAAATTCACAGCCTCTTTTTTCCAGTCTTCGCGGTCTACCAAGGACCTGGCTCACCTAGACCGGGAAGGTTGGGTCATTCAGAGGACCCAGCCTCCCGTTTTGGACTCAGCCCAAGTTTGACTTCACTTGATAAGTTCATCCTGTTCATCCGTTTCACAAAGGCCAAACCAGGCTGAAGAGGTGCGGTATGACAAGCCAGATGTGAGTAATCCAGGTAAATGCTCGTCCACTGATTTCTTCAAAAGACCAAGAGCTAGATCATAAATTCACAGATTCTACAATGAATAAACTGCATGATCCATACTTCTCAACAAATAAAAAACATCATTTGAAGAAGGTTTCTGAGGTGTAGGAGCCTAAATGCTCCGTTGTTTGTTTATTAACAAATTGATGAGGGTGGAAAAGTCCTAGTCCTGCTTCTTTTTCTTGTTCAGTTTTCGGAAACAAAACATCAAACATTTCACTGTTAGAGTTATGGAGACCAGCATGATAGTAGCCAGAAATGTTATTACATCCAGACTGAAGTACTGGAACCATTTGAGGTCACGGACAGCAGCTTTGAGGTGCTTTGCCCCTTTATGTTTCATCACATATTCTGTCCAGTACACTGAGAGATCGAGTGGGTCCACCGGCCGGTCGTTATGAAGGGCTGACAGCTTCTGGACATTCTSTTTGTACCTGAACACACAAACAGATGGAAGAGGCTGAAACARACCAATCAATGCAATGTATAAATAAAAACATTGTCAATAAAAACTACAGTTGAATAACTTTGTAGCGCCTTACSTGGTGTTATTGATGAGCTCGTTCAGTCCCTGCAGGAGGCTTTCTGTGGTCATTGAAGTGATATCCAACATGAGTCCTGCTCCTCTGTGAGCTATCTTCTGTGCGTTGTCAGGRTGGTCTGCGTTAAGTGGCACCATCAACATCGGAACTCCATGACACAAACCCTCAAACACGCCGTGTGAGCCGGCGTGAGTGATGAAGGCTCGAACTCCATGGTGTGCTAACGACGACGGAAAGCAACGTGAGACATTGTCCTGAAGTTCTAATGTGGCCTGACGCATGATGAGCTCACCCAGCAGATCGTTCTGAGGCACCCACTTCATCATCTTCACATTGTTCGGGATATTCTCAGGAACCTTGCCAGTGTACCTCCAGATCACCTGTTGCAGTGGGGAACATTTCAGCTTGTAGTTTAGGATTTGAGATTTTTTCTTGTGTACGTGTTTTTGTACCTTCTGGGGAATCTGTCTGAAGGCATCAAGAAAGACAGAAGTGATGTATTCTGGCAGATCTGACACTATGGAGCCCAGGGTGAATACGATAAACCCATGTTGACTAGAGACCCACTCCTCCAAATCCTGAAAAAAATACACTACTTGGCATTTATGATCACATCTAATGATGTTTCAGTCTTGCTGCATGCAGCCGGGGATATTAAATGAGAATGCTGTAGTTTAAAAAAATCAAATGTGAGTTGACTTGTAAAAAAGTYTCTCACATCAGCAAGAGGATTTCTCACGTTGCAGTTGATTCCACCAACCAGGATCATGTTAGGCATGATGGGGCGGGGGAACTCCAGAGTGAAGTCAATCCTGTGTCAGCAGAACCAGAAGATTAGAGTTTCAGTTTTCAACAACAGAGTCAAGCAGAGCTGGAACTATTAAAAATGAATAAATCCTTTTTTTATTTAATTCACTGCAGACTGGATGAAACCCAAAAACATTTAAAACAGACTAAGATAATACCACCAGGATAATCTTTCCTTTGTCTTTAGCAAGTTAGCATTGCTGCAGTATTGATGCTGGCCAAATACACAAAGAATACATGTAAATGTACAAATTTTGAATATAAAGATACGGGAACAGTTCAGTTTATTTGTAGAGCGCCAAGTCACAACAAAAGTACAAAGAACAATCGATCTAAGGAGACCAGCAGTTTGTGTTGAATCACATCATCGCAGTCTCCCATCCTGAGCAGCACACCGGTGACAGTGGAAAGGGGYAAAAAAAACCTTCCCATATGTAGGCTACAAGTTCAAAAGCTACAAAAACAATCATTGTCCGATGAGGAAATATTTGTGCAAAKTATTGCACAAAGTTTGAACAGATATTGCTTTTTAAAAAATAAATCTCGCCAATTTACCTTTATGTTTAGGCATAAATGGCAACATATCTCAAAAACTCAAGTGGAACAGCTTTGGAGCGACTTGTACTTTGAAAGGTCAGGTCTTTMAAAAAAATGTCCAATCCATCACTGAGGAAAGAATTTATTATGTTTCCATCAGAGAATTATTCTGTCTGCAATTATAATTYCCATGTGAGGTGTTTATTTGTGTTATTTGTCTTACTGCCAGCAGTGCATAGTTTCCCCTTGGAGATCTTGAACCTCAAAGCAAAATGATTACTAAAGGACCAGTTAGGTGAAAATAAGCCCACCTACCCCCAAAAAGACAGTAGATGTTGAGATGTGATGACTGATAAAAATGTTGTGTTTTTGAGTATCAAAGACGTGCAGTAGGTCTTCAGTTTGTGAATAAATAGGTTTTAAAATCTYAATGAAAAGCAAAGTTTCTTAAATACTGGAATCGTAGTTTTCTTTCTAGAATTCGCAGTGTAAAATAAATGATTGTCTGTGTGTAAAAGCTTTATCCTCCCTGATGTTGAATTGTAAACATGAATAGATGCTGTAAAAAGATCTTTGTATGCGTCACCTGAGCAGCCAGATATCAGAGTCTGACAARACTTCCATGATGCCCACCTCCTCCTCCAGAAACGTGTAGGCAAGGTTGTCAAAGTGCCAGTATAACAGTCGACAAAACAAAGGCTCCACTAAAGCCACCTGTGTGTTAAAAGCAAAACCTTATGACTTAACCTGAAGCACCTGTCCGTGTTTCTGATGTGTGGGGAAAAAGCAGAAGCAGAATGTGACACAGAGATYGTGAAAATGTCTGAGTGAATCTGGTTCATTCATGCATTATGCTGCTCACCAAAGTGTTAATGACTCTCTCCTTAAAYTTCATTTTGTCTGTGTAGCTGGTAAAAAAGCGGGGCACGTATGAAGCCGGGGAGGGGCAGCCTGCAGCCTTCATGTCCGCCGAACATGGAGTTCCTCTCAGTAAATTAATGGTGGGGAGACCTGAAAGTGACASACAATGACTGCTGAGGAAGTGTCCTGGTGCTCAAACGCTCGGAGAACCCAAGAAAAGTCAAACTCACCTAATTTCRGAGCTACCAATGAGCCTGTTGGTATCATGGGGTCAGTCAAGACGGCATCAAACTTCTACGAAAAATGAAAGAGGGAGAAGGAGAATTGGTAAAATCATATGAAAGGTTTTTTTTTTACTATGGATGCACCCAAGAAAAAGCTGAGAAGTTTCTGCACAGGTAGTTAAAAGTTGTCAATTGTTCCTAAACTATTGTAAAAACTTTTTATTAAAAGGTTTTGAGTATTGTTTCGATGGATAAAGTCGTAGTTTATTTCAGAAAGACTCATCTCTCARATACAACAGCAGTGTTGTTCAGGTGTGTGTGCTGCAGAACAGATTTATCTTCACTTAAACCGTTTGATCAGGTTCATCCTTATTATATTATATATATTATTATATGTTCCCCAGTTCTCCCAGGGCTAATCATGAAACTCATGAAACATACTCGGCTATCCCGTCAAATGTCTATTATCAAACAAACAAAAACATACTGAACTACAGTGCAGTCTTTGTACTGTSGAACATAGGTACCAGGYAAACATAAGACTCCCTTGAGGCACAACAAAATAAAAACACAACACTAGAAAATGACAGTGATAGTGATGATAGTGGTCTTMCTAGTTCCCAAATTCTCAGTATTTTAAAAGAAGACACAGGACACACATGCCGTGCCTTCAAGTTGAAAAAGTTCAGTTTCTTAATATTACTTTATCAACTTTCAGGATTTATTGAGAAGCAATTTCTTGCATTATTACCCACCACTAAATGTGAAAGGGCAGAAATGTTTTCTTTCTGTGTCTGTGCATGTTCATTTGTCTGTTTGCAAAATATCTCGTAAACTGCCCGGTAAATTTTATTGAGGTGTTCAGAAAGTTGTCATGTACAGTACATCTGTAACTGATTAACTTTTGGATTAGTGTGACAGCTAGGGATCCTTAGCAAACTGTGTTGGTATCTGAGACTGCTAACACACCTCACAAGATCGCCTGATTAGGTCACATAACTTCATTTACAAGATGTGACCAAACTGCTGTAGCTCATGGACTCAAATAGACCACTAGACTGAGCCCCGCCCATACCGTCCACTGGTGTCTGTGACASCATGGAGGAGCAGAAACAGACCAAACAGGACAACATCTCACAGCCTCCACAGAAACTAATAGATAAACAGCAGCAGAACCGATCTGTTTCACAAATTATCGGTCATGTTTTGTACATTAAATTAATAATTATGTTAATTTAATTCAACAACCATGTAAAACAGCAATTTATACCAGAAAAATATATAATTTTTAAGTAACAATGATCCAAACCAGACCTGAAGTCAGCCTGTAACTTAGACTTTAGCTAGTTGAAAAATGATGACTTCAGCTAGTAAAGTATATTATTTCTTCTTACTGTCATAAAAAAGAAGAATTTATATTTACCAGTCAACAGTTAGAAAATGTTCTCTGGTTATAGGATGAAACTTGTCTCTATTAGCTAACATCTTCTCAACAAGTCAGGTTCCTCTAACAGAAACCTAAAAATACTTTTATAATATTTTACACTCTGTAGGTCTAAATATTAATAAGAGGACAAATCAGTAATATTTAATAGTTTGTTAAATTGTAGCATGATTCAACAGTGCTAAACTCTGTATATATGCTCCACAAGCTAATATCTGCTAACCAGTTCAATAAATAACAGTGATTACATGGACTTTATAAGATTATTTTGATTAACTGTTACATTATGTTCTGCTCAGATCACATTGAGCTAAATAAGAACATCTGTTTACTTGTGTTGTGAAATGAGACGTTTTCCTGTTTATCTTCTGTTAATAAATCCATAACACAAACAGATTTTCTGGCATTATTTAAAACATTAGATAGATTATATAAACTGTAAAATATTAATAATAATTGTGTTAATATTATTATTAATAGTTTTAGTGATTTCTACATCGTCAGTCCTTTTTTCTGCTCTGTTGTCAACATGTACAGTAATGGGAAATCCAGAGTCTTGACCGTTTAGCGTTAGCCGTTAGCTTCACCAGCCGATCACACGGTTACGTGGTTTCTGCGCACTCCAGCTGTTCTATATAAACTCCTTACTGTAACTCTGCTCCTTCTCACTATTTAGATGTTAGATCAGAACCCAAGAAAAGCAACAGGAGAGATGGTTTATGGTTTATGGTTAGTGGGATGAATATAAAATCTATTTGAGCAGGGGCCTCATAAGTGGGCCCATTGTTCTCCCCAAAAAGACACTGGTCTTTATTCAAACCTTCTCGTCCCTTGGATGAAGGACACAAGGTTAGAAACCCTCAGTGTTTTGAGCTTCTCAGGATCCATAAAGGAGTCCCCAAGAATTATTTTTCTTTGACTGCTCTGAGCCAGGCGGTATTTTAAGTAGTGCAAAAAGGTCTCTAATTCAATGCCACAGGCATCAAACAGACTATTGTCATGGAGTCCCATCACCATTTTGTGGTGTTTGAACAGATCGTACCCAGTTATGACTCCAACCAGTGTACTTAGAGTTTTCCTTGTCAGGGCAAACAGGTTTGGGCCGAATGGGAGTGATACATTTGTGCAGAAGAATGCTAGGCCTTTAATATTAATTGTACAATACTGTAAACATTTTGGAGCATCTCAGCACATCTTTAAAAAGTAGTTCAGTCACTCTGCTCAGTCTMTCTCAACAGAAGACACACATTCAGTAGAATCAGTTTGGGTTGTGTTCCTGTCTTGTTCCTGCACTCACCTGCTGAGCCAGTTGAGAGATGAGGCTGCTGTTGAACAGCAGGCTCTCTGCAGTGGTGTGAAGAAAACCTACAATCCTCTGGATCTGAGTGATCCGTTTCTTTATCTTCTCCATGAAAGACTGTGCGTCTTTCTCCATGATGTCCTTGTGCGAGGACATCACATAATGCAGGTGAGCCTCGTCGTAAGGTACGGGGAAGGCGATGGTGTCGTAGTATTTCCCAGGGCCCATCCGTAGGCTGACCTCTGGAATCACCACAGTGACCCTGTGTCCACGCCGACCCATTTCCTGAGCGATGGCTTTAATGCCCACCCAGTGACTCCCATCCATGGGCACCACCAGCAGGTTACCTGAAAAACCAGAGGAAGAGCTGTGCTTTGCAGGAATCTTCTCGGTTTCTTTGCTTTCCTTTGAGTTTGCAGATTTGGGGTTTTCTTTTACGGATCCCTTTGCCTTGTCTTTAGCGCCGCTCACCTCCATAGCCATGCTTAGGAGCAAAAGTACAAACACTATTGGCTTCCTCATTGTTCCTCACTATGCTCTGAATCCAACAAAGAAAACAATGCAAAAAAAAAATCAAGAAAAAGGAGAAAAACTGGTGTTTTGCTCTTTTTGAATGCTCTGAATAATGTATCTGTCACCCGCTCCTGTGTCCTCTCACCAGGTTGTGGGAGTTCCTCTATGGATTAGCAGCATTGTGTGTCTGTGCATGTGCGTGTTCAAAGTCCTTACAGAAAGCCCAGCGACTATTTCGTCTCCCCACRGTCCACAAGTCGGCATGCCCAGTTCCTTAGTTACTGAGTAAGTTAATTTACTGCCATGTACACAAAAGAAAAGGRAAAATCACATCTGACATTTCACCTGAGGACTGGGGGAAAGTGCAGCGGAGTTCCAGGTGAGTTTATATAAGACAATAAAGTTGCACTAAGATAAAACTAAGGAGATTTCTAACACACTTATCTCACGTTTCACTCATTTCATTCCAGTAAATGAACTCAATAAAGCTCAGAAGCATTCAGTTGTTTTCTGATCATTTGCAATTTTGTTTGTGAGTTTAAAAAACCCTTATATAACCCTTGTACAGCAGGGCTGAATGGCGGTGTGGGGGTTCCAACACTGTAAAAAATGAAATGTTGGATTTACTTAACCATGTTATGTGACCTGGTTCCACTTAACTGAGTTGAGTAAATTCAAAGCAATTTACCAGTTTTTTAACCAAAGAACATGAGTATATTGCTTTGAATTTACTCAACTCAGTTAAGTGGAACCAGGTCACATAACATGGTTAAGTACTGTAAATCCAACATTTCATTTTTAGAGTGAAGCAAGACCGTTTGTGGTTTCAATCTTGTGTCTTTTTGTGTGTTGTGTGCATATTTTCTTTGAGTACTTTGGTTTAGTTTTATTTGTTGAACTGATGACCTGTTCACCTATTGATTGTTGGGATTTGCTCCAACATTTCCCCCACCCCAGCTGTGACTCTGAGCTGAAGAAAGTTGATACAATAAAATGAATGAACTGTAAACCCAATTTAATTGGGCTTTTTTTTCACACTAAAACAATGTTAAACAGAGGGGATTGTTACTGCAATAGTTTTACTTATTGTCGAATCAACTGTTTTATGAGCTTCAGATTTCATTGTTCTCAACATGGATGCCTTTTTTTAAATTAAATTTCACTTTGTTCATTGTGTTTTTAGTGCTTATYTCAGATATTTTTGAACAATCCAGTCAGAGATGAGGGGAAATCCTTCTTTTTCTCAGTCTCTGGAAGCATCGTTTGTTGAGTTATACAAAACAAAGCATCACAATAACCTTAAAAAATAAAACTTGATTTTTTTATCTGCACTTAATGATTAATCAAGAACTTTCACCTCTTTATCTCTCGTCTGTTCAAAGCACACAAAAATAAATCAACCTGGAAAGACTCACATGAAGACAAAACGTGAAATTAGAACGGTTTTATTGACACGATTGAACAGATTTATATGAATGACAGGTTTGGCGCTTGGACCCCAGACAAGAATGTGAACGCTCTGAGAGGTTGAAAACTCAGAGAAGTTGATTAGGTTAGGGGGTGGGAGTTTTCTTTCCCCCACTGGGGCCCGGACACTGGTGGTGGTTGAAGGAGAGGGAGACACCTGAAAGGTAGGAGATGAAGGATGGAGGAGGGGAGTCGGTAGGTTGACATTCAACTGGCGAGCAGCCGGAGCAGTTGAGGAGGACTGCTGGATCTGTACTGGATGAGGCTGAGCGTGTGATGACGGAGCTGAATGAGCCAGGTGAGGGTCATTAGTCTTCCAGAGTTAAAACTCCATAAATCAGCAAGTGTTTTGTCTCATACAAAAAAACTGCAGCTCATGCATCTTAGTGCCAGCTCTACATTTCAGACACATTTTATTGTAATGTTCTAAGTTTTAGAGGCCCAGTTTTGCCACAGAATCCTGACTATTCTACCTCTACCTTGATTCTTCAGACTGATTTTGCAATAAAGATTTTCTATCAAACTGGACTTGTGACCTATCTGCTGGATATGAGCACCAGTGATCCCCGTGACCCTGAAAGGAAAGAGTGGGTAAAAAAAAAAACAACAACGGATGAATTTTTCCATAGTTTTTACTTTATCAATGAAACAATGGCTAAAAAATAATTCAACACCTTAGTCTGCCAGGATCAGAATATTTTGATTATTGTATGGTAGCTTAATAAGTTTTAGTTCTCTTGTTTCATTTTTTAAGGAAGGTCACTTCCTGTATTTTTTCTTGTTGTACCTTTGTGCTTCAAGCCTGTTCAGTTCTCCTCTGTGTCTCCTGCTTTTTGTCCTTATTGCTGCCACACCTTTTCATTTTTTTGTTCCCTTGTTTTTTACTTAAGCTCTTTGTGTTCGTCTGCATTCCTGGGTCCTACCTCACCTGTACCTGACACTGTCTGAATCAGACCCACAACAGCAGACATTTTGATTATTACAGGTGTTTATAGAATAGTTATCCCTGGACGTAATCCCCAAAAAACACAGGGGACTGCACTCAGGTGTATCAGCTGTCCCCATGTCTGAATTTAACATCACAGTAAATCAACTCATAGAATAAAAGGTTGAACACTTGTCACTAAAAAAACATTACATGTATTAGATGTGTTACACACAAACATTAGAGTCTGTGTGTAAATGTTATGTGTGGACTGAGGAGTCTGCTTGTGTCAAACATTCAAACTTATTTTCAGGACAGTTAAATTGTTCTTGTTGTGTTTTAGTGAGCTTTGCCCTGTTTTCCCTCAAAGACTGTTTTTACAGATGTAAACATCTTGACATATGGAGTCCACAGGTGCAGATGCTTTGCATAACACTGACAAATTACTGGGATATTTCAATATCTGTCAGGATGCAGCTTTTTGTGGTTCATTTTTTTTACAAGAGCAAAGCATTTTACTCATTAAAAATAATTAAATGTTACCATTTAAACTGTTGTCCACTTGATGGCGATCATGCCCCTTTTACTATCAAAAATGGTGCCAGTGTAGGGCAGGCCGGTGATCTACAAATGGAACAAGAGAGACCAGCTTGCTTTGAATAAATGTCAAAACGGCCTACCATACAGGGAGCGTCATGATCCAGTCCCCAGCATTGGAATCATTTCCGAAGTTTTCTCGAGTCCTCGCGCGAACGATTAGCATTGGTCCGGCGGAAATCCGCGAGCTCGGCACGCACGAGCCCGTAGGCTAATGCGGTAAAAACATTTRATTTTATTTTCTTCGGTTAGCATAAATCATGAAAACAGCCACGAACATGCCAAGTAGTGAAAACTATAAAGGAACAGAGGCGAAGTAAGCTGACATCATGACCAAGTTTCAGCGCTGAGTTAAAAACTCTGTTTTTATTTTGTTGTTTGTTTTTAGCCGAGGAGACACACGTGCTAACAGTATTAGCTTCATGCTAAAGTTAGCCAGACACACATATTAGCAACATTTCGCTGTCATATTAAATTTAAACCCGCATTACTAGGTTTAAGGCMTAGTGAGCCTGCTTTGTGTTTTATTTCTAATCATGTAGTTACGTAATGAACATAATTYTGTGGTTCTTTCTGCTAAAACCAAGTTTTATTTGGGATATGAGTTCTGAATCAAATGCAAGGTTAGCTTACGATTTGTAAATTGTGTAAAGGGCTGTTCCACTAAATATTTTGTGCACCTTGATCAAAATCTAAACATGGTAATAATAAATATTTTACTTCACTGTTTTCATTTTACATGACTAAAATTGTCCTAATTTTGTTTAAAAACAATAAGACAATGTATGTTTTTTGTTGCCATAATTTAGAAATTTCAAACTTAGCCTATTATCTCACACTAAAAGCTACTTCTTGTAAACACAGTTACTTGATTTGTAAAATTTTTATTCTATGATAAATCTAAACACAGTGATTTCAATGTAGTGTTGACCTTTTTTCTGTATTGGATAAGGTCTCAGTTTAAAAACCTAAATCTACAGGCAGATCATTCTAAACACGGTTTTTGATCTGAAAACATTTGTTCTGTTTTGGTCTTTCATCAGTTTTCTACATCCAGTTATTAGCAGGTACTGACAGCTGGTGCCGACCTCCAGTGGTCCAGAGGTGAATGACTAATTCATTCCACCTTTAAATGGTCCTTGGTGTTTAAAACAATGCAAATCAGACATTAAAATGCAATTTAATCCAGGTTTGACAAATATTAGATTTTGAAGTAGAGCTAGTCTAAAATTAAATTAAATTGGCCTCACCTCAGCTGATGAACTGAAGGTTAATTTTATCATCTAACAACTATASAGTACATTAAGTGATTACTAACAGACAGACAACAGAAAGCTACACTACTTATACTAAAACTGTTCTGAATTTTATTGTTTGGATATCTGTTAGTGGTTTGTTGTCTTCAAATCTTGCAGGTACGATGTAGATGACTGGGACTTATTCTCTCATTCCCTGTCTTTAAAGTTGGAATATTACAGGTACGGTGACACAAACCTGTGCTAATGCTCAGCTTATTGTGCACACAAAACAAAAAAGACATTAGTTGTGAGTAATCTATGCTGTTCTCTTCCACAGATGTGTTGAGTTTAACCTGAAGTGGACCAGGCACATGTCTCCCCGATGCTCCTCCAGACTATCAAAGGCCTCCAAGACGAGGGTCCAAAACCGTCCCAAACCAAGTCAAGATGTTGCACCGGGTGAACCGAGACGTCAAACAAGGAGGACGCGACTGAGGAATGCCGATGGCTGCAAGGCTGAGGCAGATGATGAAAAGGACTTACTGGACCTCATTGATAGCAGTGGAGAAGATGCTGTGGAGATAGTTGACAACGGACTGGATGTGTCTGATGAGGACCTTGCCTCTGACTGCTGCAGCGTAGTTTCTGGTCCCTCCATGGTCCGTCATGCCCCCTCCAAAACGCCCAAGTCTTCTCACGGTTTGTGCTCAGCCTGTCGAGAACTCTACCAGAAGGCAAAGAGAACAAAAGCTCCAATCAAAAACAAACTCCTGGATAATGGTTAGTGTGTGCAGCACTTACTTAGTACMTCCTAAAGCAATATGAAAGGAAGTTTCAGCAAAATTAAGGGAATGTATTACAAAACAAGAGAATTTTTTTGTGGCAATGCAGTGTGAACGCTGAGGGCTGAATGAACACTGCATGAAAACTAAAAAGAGCAAATCACTTGCTAAAAAGAACACAATTTGAGCGCTACTGTGCCTAAAAATATTCACTCATTTTGATGTCGGCAAAGGAATTGTGTCATCTCTCCCACGGTCACATGTCTTGGGTTCTCTGACCCTTCTTGTTCTCAGTTTGTGAGAATGGTCTGTTCTTGGTAGATTTCCACACGTCYCATATCCCGTCTGTTTTCATGCTGATGGATTTAACAGAATTCCTCCTTCAAAAAGGCCAAATTAGATTGACAGTGACTTAATTTTTAATTCCCATAAAAGGGTAAAACGTCTGAGGAGGGTAAATATTTTTTTAGGCACTGTAGCTAAAAGTAGCATAAGAAGACAAAAATAAAGCACAAATGCTGAAGTAGATGGTTTTTAAAGATTTGAGATAATTTTGTATTTTTATGGAAAAAATTATAGTAAATAAAAAATTTTGTGAAAGTATTAATCACAAAGTATCATAAAGTTCTCACCTACTGAATAATCTGCACATTTTTAGTATAAGAAAGCACAAAGTTTGCAGAAGTAGGATTGATAAAAGTGAAATGTAAAATGATAAATTGGCTTTCATGTTGAAATTCTAACAGGATCGTTATAATGTGAGGCCTGCATTGCTTCTTCAACTATTATAAACTAAATACAAATTTATATTATAATAATTTTTTATTTACATCTTTTAGCCAAGGTGAGGTCCTATT